AGTACTAGTAATAATCGATCCTAAAATGTAATCATAAATTTGTACTATATCAAATTAAAGCTAATAAAAACCAACTGGCATTGTTGCCAAAATTCAAAAAAAAAAAAAAAAAAAATCTGAAACCAATATAATACTCATGTGCTATTCTAATTTACTTATTTTCCACCATGATACAAATCACATGAAATAGTAAAAATTCTATTTACTGTAAATTGCTTTAACTTTAGAGTTAAAAAGAATAGATATTATACTAAAAGCTTGCAAGGAATTTTTTTTGGTTAGAATGCAAGAGGCAGTTTTTTAGACAAAATTTTGAGATATTGGCAATTTTTTGAAAAATAACAAAAAAATACTAATGAATTTCATGTTGCGATCTACATATAAAAAATTCCTTTTGGGTTTGTATCATGGTGGAAAATCAGAGCGTATGGTATTATAGAGATACTTTATAGAGCACTATAAGGTAAAAATATTTTTACTTACTTAAAATCATCAATAAAATGCATAGCAATTTTCCTAAGGCCACTTCGAAGTGCTTCTCTGTAAAATCGATATGCAGCATTTGTAGCATTTTTTAAAATGGATATGTCTTTATGAGATAATTTTTTAGATGAGAAGCATAATTTAATACATTTAAGAATTATTTCTTTTATAAGATGTTATGTCCTAAAGAACATGTATTTTAAAAATAATTGGAATTTCATTGATTTCTAAAGATTATAAATGTTATGAAAAAATTAACGATAATAATAATATGACAGCATGATAACATAAAACTTACATCAGAAGTCACTATATCATTGATGCATACTACCACCTAACCCTAATTAATTGTAGACCTGCATCAAAAAAGTAGCTTAAAAAAACATGAATTTTACTCTTTTTATATTCACAAAAATCAATTCAGATTTCACTCTGTCTTATAATAATTATACAAAAAAGATATCTTAATTGTTGAGTAAGTACCATAGTTTTTTCTTCATTGTCTGACATTTTAAGACCATCATAATAAGCCATTTGATTTACAATTTTTAAAAGTTCTGGTTGTTCAGCAACATATGCTGCTACTTTATAATCTGATTCGAATAAGAGTGTTTTGCAGCTATTAGATGAACTTTTGATCGTGAATGAGAACTTGGTAAATGAGAACATTGTAAAGAAGAGTGTCATGAATAAGAATGTTGTAAAAGAGAGTGTCATGAATAAGAATGTTGTAAAGGATAGCATTGTGATTGTAATAGGAACGTTGAAGTGAATAAGAACGTTGTGAAAAAGGATATCGTAAATGAGAATGAGAATGAGAATGTTGTAAAGGAAAATATAGTGAACAAGGATGAGAACTTTGTAAAGAAGAATATCGTGAATGAGAATGAGAATGTCTTGACAAAGAATATCTTGATCAAGATCGAGATTGAGAGCCCAATGACTGAGAATTTGAGTATTGCATTCGAGAGTTTTTGGTATTGCTGCTCGTAAGTACTTTATTAAAATTGACAGAGTCATCATTATCAAAGTCTTTAAATTCACGACTCTCGCTAATTTTGTTTTGATCATTATGAGTTCTTTTATTCTTGATTGAAGATGTATTTTTTTTATCTGAGGGTGTAAGTGCTTTTTTGCTTAAAGATGCAGTATCTTTTTTTGATATATGTGAATTTTGTTTTAAAACAGCTTTCTTAGGCATTAAAAATAACTCTTTGCATATATAATTTATGATTGTATCGTTACAGTTGTTAATTATAAATTAAAAAGAATGAATGAATACACTAACAATATGAACAGCTATTTATAAGTTAATTAGCACCTTTTAAAATTTAATGCATGATGCATAACCTTATTATTTTAAGTTTAAATAATGATGAGCAATATAAAAAAACTAATCTTCTTCAAACAATAATTCATCCTTATTTAAAGAAGCATGAATATAATCAAAATAAATATCAAGTTTGCAGAAGAAAATAATCTATCATTCATTCTTTTTCTTTTTATATCTAACCTTTCAGTTACTACTATTCAGTTATATCAACCTTATGCATAATTATATGCTTAATATTTAAAAAATATTCCAATATTACATCATACTATACATATTTAATCTAACATGTGACTAATAACAATGAATTTTGCCAGAAGAAAATGAAATACTAGAATTTATTAAAAATTTTTAGAAATCAAGTGTGATAAATTATAAACTTAAATTCCTAAGGTATTATTTTTTCTTTAACACCAAATATATAGTACGTACTAATTATATGATATCACAATAATAGGAAAGACATTAAAGCCAGATCAGTTAGAGTGTTTTTGATGCAATTAGGTTATTATTTTATAAAAATATCAAGAATGCAATTTATGCAATTTGTGTAAACAAATCTGACCCTTATAACAGATAAAAAAACATAACATTGTTAGTATTTATACATAAATTATTTGTTTAGTAATGTGATAATTCTTGTATTTGTATTAATATTCTAACTTCTATTCAATAATCAATTTATCAATACAGTATTTAAGAATCATGTATAATAAAGTTGAATGCATAATAGAGTTAGTCTGTAAGAATAGAGACTTATTCCTATAATTTATGGTCAAAGTGCTTAAAGATCCAAGAGATATGACTATGGAATTTAGGTCAAAAAAAGCTTCTAGAGACAGATGTAAGTGGAGTTACTAGTAGTACAGATATGACAATAAAAGAATTAAAAAACAATTAGACTCAAGTTTGGAACGTAGATTCAGCCATTCTCTTATTTTATTTCTGAATAATTAGATATGGTGATTAGATTAGAATTTCGGCAAATTCTATATGAACATTACCTAGATATTATCAATGTAAAACACTTTAATTGGCTTTTCAAAATTGTTTTTATTGAAGTGAATTTCACTTTCATAATAACTATGAACAGAGTGAAGGTTATTGAAGTAGTTTAGTCATTTATATGTATTAGCATGACAGATGGCACTTTGTGCCATATATCTTATTTTATGAAGGTTGGAAATTTATATATATATATATGAATACTGCATACAATATAATCATAAATAGTACTATCTCAGACCTATCATCTAAAAAACTAGCTACAACACTTGTTATCAAATTTTTACTTCATCTTAACCAACAAATATATCATAAAATTTGGATTCTCTACTGTATCTCAAGATCGATATCTCATCCTCCTACTTTTA